AAAGACTTTTCAGTCTCAGAAAATATTTCAGTACTTACAAATAATATATTTACCTTTACACCAATGTCTTCATGAAATATGATTTTATTTTTAATGGATGACTTAAGTAATTAATTAATTTTGGTTGAAGGATAGTTCTTACAAAGGCAGAAGTTAGAACTGAACCCTGTGTAGCCACACATGACTGGTGTCATGAAGGGGATGAAAATCCTGTTTACAGGAAAAAAAGAAATCACATCATCTGTTAATCGTAGAGGGGTGGGCTGTTTTCAAGGACGTACAAAGAAAGGTGGGAGTTGGACGGGCTGGCAGGGGAGATGCGAGATGCGCGTGCTGATAGGAAGGACCCACAATCCTACATGTTTTCTGGATGTGACCCTCATTTTCTCTCTCACACGCCGTCTGCTCCAGCTAATTAGCAAATCAAAAGAAACCGAAACAATTCTAGACCTCAGCACCATCAAATTAGAGGAGTTATCTGAGGATACTGCTTTCACACGGTGTAATCATGCGCTCTTTGTTTTGGTCAAATGAGTGAAAATTACCTCTCAAACCCAAAGCCCTCTCCTCTACCCAACCAGCTCTGTGGACAGACGCATTTCATATCTGCTCTCATCAGTTTTACACACGAGTCTTTCTACACAGACAGGAAGGCACAATTAAACAATACCCATCAAACTTCCCATACAATAAGGATCCTTTCAAAATACGTTTGACTTTTCAGGTGATCAGCACTAAGAGCCATTAGTGCACCATCTAAATCAAGACTTGGGAAGTTTATTAAAATTGGATTTTTAACCTGATCTCAATTTCCTCTGCTTATAAGGAATCCCATTGGACTCCTTAATACTTAGGCTATTAACCTGAAAGATTCAAACAGCCATTAAGGGAGGAGAGACTGAAGCTGTACAGTGTATGTAGCCTTACAGATAAAATCCGCTTGAGCCCGGGCAGGTAGAGTGAGAGTGGATCCTGGACATCTTCCAAAGAAGCAGGCTCTCTCTCTTTCTCTCTCCTCATCTCCCGTTCTCCTGACCTCCTTCTTTCATCACATATTTGGGGGAGGGAAAAAAACCCAAAATAACAGAAGCAAGCTATTCGATTACAAAGAGGACTGGATTAGGAATCTAAGGTTTACTGGAAGGGGAACGGCCTTGGATAAAATCACTTCCTCCTCTGGTGCCCTCATTTCTCCCCCTCACTCATGTCACTATTTTAAACTCCTGTGCCTTTGTTTTGTTTTTTGGAAAATGAGGAAATCGTAGTCCCTAAGAAGGTCAGTGCAAGAACCAAAGGTGCAGCTCATGCCATTCAGGTAGAGGGCCTGACACCACAGCCTTGGCTGAGTCTCGGCTGGGGTATTCCTCATTGTGGACCCCACGCACCGGCCAGTGGCTTCCGCTTCCATTTCCTCCCGCGGCCTTTATCCTCTGCAGAACACAGCTTACTGCTGAACTGATGCCAGAGAGTTCCGGTGAAGATGGGCTGTGGGTGTCTGTCTTCTTTCTCCTTGAGATAGACTGCCTGCTCCCTTAGGGCAGTGGTGATGTCTCACCTTTCCATCTCTTCCTCGGTACCTGGCACAGTGTTGAACACAGAGTAGGTGCTCAAAAAAGACCAGTATCTTAGAATAAGAGCAGATCAGAAATCGTCGACTAAAGCCCCCTCATTTTCTATCCCATAACACTGAGTAAGAGAGCCTTAGGCCACACATCTGAGAGTGACACCCACTTTTCAAGCTGGCCGTCCTTCTGTCTCCTGTAAGCCTCCGTTCTTACCCTGATGGCTTTGAGATGGAACCATATCTGACCTAAAGCATGACTTCTTCAGGGAAGTTCAGTTTACATACTTTTTTGAGAGTATACTGTTTCAGCCACCACGCCGGATTCTGGAAGAGACAATTAAATCGTAGTCCCTGTGCTCAAAGCACCTCTAATCTAATGGGGAAGACAGATCTGTAAGCAGATATTTTCAGTCCACTGTTGGTGTTGTTCTAGCAAAGCTGAGTTCTGGTGATATGTAAATGCGTGGATAAAAAACCCAGAGGAGGCCCGGAATAGGTCAGGGAAAGCTATTAGGAAGAAATGACAACTATTGCGGCAGAGACCAAATGCTAAATACGAACAAAATGACCAATGAATACTTTCTTATTTATATAAGAATATTGATCATTGATCAATGAATGTTGGCTAAAATTTTAAAAATTAGAGAAGCTAAAATTCCGATCCTCCAGTTCTTGCCAGTTGCTGGATCTTCCTGGAGTCACTTGGTGCGAGTGAAGCTTGTAACAGAGACTCAGGGCTGGGGCCAGAGGTCCTCATTCCTTCCCTTTTAGGATTTGTTGTGGAGAACAAAGCAGATGGGCTAACCTGCCCTTGGCTCCCAGGGTGCAAACGGAATCACTGCCAGCCTCCCTGGGCATCTCACAAATGAGTTGTGAAATTCAGACTACGGGCACAAAAGCACTTTGAACTCTTAAGGAAAAGCAATCATGCCAACTTAGAACATCAAAGCCACTCCCTGTTTCTGAAGAACTCATGATCTGCACTGGGCTTAGCTGCTGGCAGGGGCTCAAGGACACCAGGAATTGGCAGGGGCACCTCTTAAACTACCATTTGACCTGCACAACCTCACACGTGATTTTACACAGCTTCACAGACTAGGGGAGAAAAAAGCACTTCTTTTAAAGCGAATGGAAATTTAAATGCTGAGGCTTTTCAAAGAGGGGCTTTAAACTGACTTTGCTTTTCCCAGTCTTACTGAGAAATAATTGACATTTATCCCTGTATACATTTTAGGCGTAGAGCATGATGGTTTGATTTACACATACTGTGAAATGATTACCAGGATAGGTTTGGCTAACATCTATCTTCTCATATAGACACAATGCAAAGAAAAGGAAGAAGAAAAGAATGAAGGGAAAAGTTCTCTTTGTTATGAGAACTCTTAGGATTTACTCTATTAACTGCTTCCCTATGTGCCACACAGCAGTGCCAGCTACAGTCACCGTTTTGTACAGTACATCTCTGGGACATGTAACTGGAAGTTCGTACTTTTGATCACCTTCCTCCAATCCCAACCCCCAACCACAAGTCTGAGTAAAGTGACTTTTTAAAATACAAATATATATGTATTTCTCTTTCTCTCTTTTTCTTATATATATATATATATATATATATATATATATATATATATATATGTATAATTTCCTGTATAATTTACTTATTTATTTATTTTTACCGAAAATAAGTATGTCAACATTAGTCTAACTCAGAGAAGCAACCAGGATCATTAAAACCCCTAAAAGCTTATTTTCCAAAATAAGACTTGACCTTGGCCTCTCAGATGCCACTGGCTTTATTAGATAGTCAGAAAATGCCGGTCATGGCTTTGCTTTCTAAAAGAGTAACATTGCATAAGGAAATGGTCAATTTCCTATAAGATCCACTACTTAGATGGGAGAGTATTTGTAATCTAAGAAAAGTTATTTTTTTAATCTTAAAGGACAAACTCGAATTCTTCCAAATATTTATCTTCCAATATTTAAGATATGGAAGATCAAGTGAAAGCGCATCTAAAATAAATTTCTTTGATGTTCATTTGTCATTTTTCTCTTTTTTCTTTTCTTTCTTTTTTTCTTTTTCTTTTTTTCTTTTTTACGTGTTGGCTGATCTTCCTTTGAAGACGACTTGCTTTGGCTCGAGTAAGCAGGCAACTCAGCTTCTCCAAGGAGACTCCAGGCGCCTAGAAATCTTAAATCTGAAATTGAACTACTGATTGCCGATCTAGTTCTCACACAAAACTTCCCAGCTATGAGAACGGGGGAAGGGTGGGGGAGGCGGCAGGGATACCCTGCTTAATTTCCGAGCTGACGTTTGCAGTTCTGGTGCACTAGCCGTGGCACTCCCGGTGAATCGGCATCCACTCCCGGACTCGAAACCGAAGGCGGGTGGCGCGTTCAATGGCGACACGGAGCGCTCAGGAGCCGGCTCCTCGCGCGCATTCCGACCCAGGCTGCGTGGCCGCGGGCGTCCCAGCCCGGCTGCGGTGCGTGAAGGATGGCTCCCCCTGCTTCCTGGGCGGTGCAGGGAGCAGCGACGCCTAAGGGGGGCACCTGCCTGGAAGGAAACCGGCATTGCTGACGCACGTGGGAGGGGCGCAGGTCCTGGGGACCTTGCGAGGCTAGAAAGTGGAAGAAGATGGGGGCTCGAGGTTCTAACCTACCCTTCCCTAGCAAGAGTGAGGGGATAGACGGGACGTGCCAGGTTGGCGGCGACCCCACCCTCCCGGCCGTGCTGGCCCTCTCCCCAGTGCCCCTAACCTCCCAGGATTGAAACCCGAGGAACTGTCTCGCCGAGTGGGAGGAACCAACTCGTTCAATA